GTGGATTGTGTCCCTCTCTTTTAAGGATATTCCTTAATTTTTAATAAAGTTTTTTTTGTTCACAAAAAAAGACTAGATTTAAGTTGTGAACTTTCAATTTATTGGTGATGACAAATTATTAATGGTGTGTTATTTTCTCTCAAATTTTATATTTTTTTGTTAAAGGTTAGCTTCTTATTAACACACCCGTAGGTGACCCGCAACTTGCATGGGTGCGGGCGTGGATGTGACATTGCACCTGCGTGTCTCATTAAGGACGTGCATAGTCAATATCACGGGTGTCGTCGAGGACGGGATTTACTTCACCCGCACCTTACCCGACCCGTTGCCATCCCTAGTGATGGTTGAATCTATCAATCTACTATTACAATGTTACTATGTCTTTTATCTCTAAACCCTATTATGTTTTTTGTTCTTTGTTGCTTCAATGAATTGCAAAGGACTACAACGGACATACCAGCTAGGCAACTAGCAGAGGCGGATCTAGCGCTAGGGCAGGGTGGGCTCGAGCCCCGGCTATCGCTGCTCGGACTATAGAGCCCCTCTAACAAATTTGCACCTAATGAAGCTTGAAAGGAGAGGCTAGGGATGGAAGATTATAAGATAAGTCATTTCTTATTTATTTCCTAGATCCGCCACTAGCACCTAGGACAAACTATAGTCGTCATGCGCCTTGACGGTGTCTTCTTGAGGGTACGGGGTTTTGGGTCTTAAAAATTTTCATAAGCGTATCTTGCGCATGGTGCTCTCGACGAGTCTTATCCGAAGATGTAACCTTCGTGACATATCCTTCGTATTGCGCTCATCGACGCAGAGGCCGAGACACAATTACTTGTCCACTTACCTGATTGAATGCAGAGTTGTGAAGTGCGTGAGCGGCCGTATATCCTCCGTACAAGTGAGCTGTGTGTCATCTGCCAGGATTCGGAGCTCAACTCTGTTAACGCCGTGAAATGGTTTTGGCTGGTTTGAGCTGCGTGGCAACTGACAAAAGGAAATAAGTCGAGGCTCAAGCGAACGTGCGTTGTGGGGCTATCCGCTTCTCAACATTTTCGGCTGTCCACTACTCGGAGATCTGTGTCGTCTTTCAAAACCTGGGCGCTTGTCTATACTTGTCATCACATGGAAGTTTGAGTGGACTTTTGACGAACCCAGAAACACATTCAGAACATCACTACGTTTTACGCACGCAGCATTCTTTGAAGTTGCGTCGCTGCATTCCTACGGCCGGGCACGGGCAGCACTTGCATTGCGTTTGCTCAAAATCTGCAGCCATATCCGGGATCCTTTTCCCTTCTGACGAAGGCACGAAGCGCGAATAATGAGAAGATGCTACTACAGTTGGCTCAACTAGCACTCTAGCAGCAGTGTACTGCCGCCCTGCCGAAGCGCCGGGACGGACGCCGGCGGACGACTTGTGATCTCTGTGCCTGTGCGTGTCCTGCGGGTTTTTGACTGGGCAATGCATGAGCTGGAGGGCAAGGACCCCGCTTCCGCGGCTTTTTCCGTTCGAAACACCTGGTGCCAATGTGCCATGCACAGTCACCGCACGCAACGCAAAGAGGCCGGTACCCGCGCCGGTGGAGGCTTACCTGGAAACAGTCCGAGGAGCTGAAGCCCGCGTCCGCGCGCACCGGCGACCAACCAGCGCCAACGCATGAACGCCGGCGGCGGCGGGTCGCAAGCAACAGTGGCGTTCCACTGTTGTCTAGCGCATGCATGTACGACGCCAAGCTGAAACTTCGGTCGACCTTTGCAAAACTGAAGTGGACGCTTCCTGGCTTGCTGCCATGCTAACCGGTGATTGCAGTGCATCGTCCCAACACTCCTGCATTTTCTTAGCAGCTCAGAGATTCTACACAAGTGGCAGAATAATCCGATTCCCTCCTCAAGTCAGAGGACAGGGGGAAGCACCGAAGCAGAACACTTTACAGCTCCTACCGAGACGGTCTCCAATGATGACCCATACGGAGATTCAATCTAAAATGGACCGTGGATGGCCTCCAGAGTACCTGTATACGAGATCTATTTTGGGTTACAGCAGAGGTATTCTCTCCTGAGGACTTATTTGCAGAAAGGATTCTCTTTTAGGTCTTGTTGCTGGAGAAGATAAAAAATAGGTATTAAACTGTTTGCCTTTAGTATTACCCAAACATGAAATATGTCTTCTATTTTGAGTGAGGTTGTTGGAGATAGTCTCAATGAGCAAACAGGAGAGCCGCAGAGCATACAGGACCTACATGCACCATAGGCAATGGCGTTGCATGCTCCTACTGGACTGGCCCCCGTAGCCCCGTCTAGGTGCCTGCCCCCCAAGTCACGCGCGCGGTCCTATTAACGAGACCAGGCGTCGTGTTCACGTCACATGCATTGCCAGAATGCCAGCCGGTGCCGGTCCGAGCTCCGAGTACCTTTACATATACCCGCTATAAGAAGCAGCGGCCTGCTCTGAAGAAACATGAACCTGATGCTCATGCTCCCCTGAAAGATGCAGAGCAAGGGCTCATGCTGGGTAGTCTGATCTTGGTGCCATGAGGCCTGAGCCGCAGCCTGATCGATATCCTTGTACCTATATATGCTCGCCATCTTTTGATTAGCTCTTGCATGTGGGAAGGAGGCTAGCTGAGTAGTATGCAATAATGCAACTACGCATCGCGTAGCCAAGGATGACTTGCCGGCATTTCTTGGGTCGGATAACTGATCAGTTTGAGCCTGGGGATGAACAGACCCGGCCGGGCAGTCATCTGTGGCTACGCGTTTGCCTCCTTCTCTTATGCTAGAGCGGTTAAAGATGTCATCTGGATTGGAGGTGTGTGAATGTGATGTCGTTGCTTTCGCTGGGAGAAGTTACACGTCCTGCATCCATAGAGTCAGAGACAACACAAGGTATGAGAATATATTCGCGACCATTCCAATTTGTTCGACTTGATCGGTGGAAAAGTTTCTTATATCAAAGGTGTTTTCGTGATTTCTGATGAACAAAATCGGGTTGCTCAGCGATGCCATTCTCTGCATGTATATTATACAAACAATAATCTATTTTTCAAATAATATTCGTCAAGGCCTATTAGCTCAGTTGGTTAGAGCGTCGTGCTAATAACGCGAAGGTCGCAGGTTCGAGACCTGCATGGGCCAGAATTTTATGCTTATTTTCTATGTATGTTTTTGGACCAGGAAATTTTTTTGCTTCTTTTCTATGCATTAATTTTATGCTTATTTTCTATGCATGTTTTTGGGCCAGGATTTTTTTTTGCTTCTTTTCTATGCATTTTTTCGTGCATTCTAACCATCGGCTTCTTTTCTATGTTTTTTTTTGTGCATTCTACCTGCATGGGCCAGAATGCTAGATTGCCTCTTTTTTTATGCATTCATTCCTTCCTAGGTCGATTTGAAGCCCATAACTGAAGAAGGGCCCAAACAGTAAGAAGATCTAGAATCAAAAGGCCCTTTATTTTTACGCCAGATTTTTTTTTGCATCTTTCTTGTGCATTCGTTCCTTCCTGGGTCGAAAGGAAGCCCGCAACTCAAAATGGGCCCAAACAGTAAGAGCAACTCCAAAAAAATAAGCTCAAAAGTCACAACGTTTTCCAAATTTTCTGATTTATATACCTATTCTCTAAGATAAATTCTCTGTAAAAAATAGACTATTCCAACCGCCACTGTAAATATTGTCATCTTCTATATTAAGCCTGCCTAGTCATTTTGACCTTTTTATATCATTGTGTCGTCCATGAATTCCAGTACACAGCTTGTTTATCGTCAATGGTGTATGCTAGAACATCGTTGGTATAAAGTAACATATTCATTAATGCACTCTCCCTCACTTCACAAGTTAGATCACAAGGTCTACTAATGACGGATAACAATGGTAGAGATGAATCTGGTCCTAGTTCCAAAGAAACATGCACACGATCCTAGATCCATGTGTAGTGTACGTTGGACCACCATATTTACCAGTGTTAACCCAATTGATACATGGCTTACAATAGGTTGAAAGCTACAACTACTGTAGGTTAAGTTATGGTACTATAAAATGTATTTTCAGAGGCGGTTTGTTTAGCGGGACTTGATAGCCAAAAAATGTTACCATTGCTGAAAATCGTTTCTGTAGTAATGGAATGAAACAGAGAAATGCCTCGGTCAATTTAGTTGCGATTGTTTCGATGGTACTCTTTGCAAAAAAAATCATTCTAGATTTAGACTAAGTCAAATTTTCTTAAGTTTAACCGCATTTATAGAAAATAGTATCAATATTTGTCTCTCCACAGAAATCTATTATGAAAATATGTTTCATTGTCTAATTAATGATACTGATATCTTTTTTTTTTTTGTATATAATCAATTAAGTTGAGATGGCACTAAAACAAGATGCCGCTCTTTTTAGAACGGAGGGAGTACGTGACACGTCTCTCAACAGTGAGATGTCTATAATAAATTTATAGTTTATGAGATATATGTTAGTTTAGTCTTTCAAACATACACATATATTCATATGTTTGTAAACGTCGGTGTAAACTTAAAAAAACAAGGCATAATATGTTACTTGTAGTTGTAGGAGTAACATATACATGCACCGATCCAAAAAGAAAAAGGAACAAGGTAGGCGTGGATCGACCACGTGCTTGTACATACAAATACGTACATCTCGACACGTACATGTGCTGTCGCGTACGTATATGCAAGGCTCCCTATACGTACGGAGTAATAAGTTAGACGTTTCTCACAGCCGCAATTTGCCAAATACGCGCGTGACACCTGAGGTCGTCGTTGCCAGCCTACTATAAATTGCTCGCTCCATCGGTTGCATCGATCGAACCATCACTCCCCAATTCCACACCTAGCTCTTCCGCCCACCGCGCCACAAAGCGGCGCATCCACCGGCACCGGCAGCAGAGCACGTACTCTGCCCGCTGGCCGCCCGCCCGCCCGCCCAGCAGAAAGCTAGCTGGATCTTCGTGTCGACTCCGATCCTCACGGACGACGATTCAGGATGGAAGGTGATGGTGCCGGCTGACGCGCCGCCGCTGCCGCCCGGCTTCCGGTTCCGGCCGACTGACGAGGAGCTGCTCACGCATTACCTCGCTCCGAAGGTGGCCGACGCCGGCTTCGCCCCCGCCGCGCTCCGCGAGGTCGACCTGTACGAGGCCGAGCCCTGGGACCTGCTGCCGGCCGGGGGCGGAGGCGGAGAGGACGGCGGCGTCGGCTACTTCTTCTGCAGGAGGAGCGTCAAGTTCCCGTCGGGCCTGAGGACCAACCGGGCCACGCGGGACGGGTACTGGAAGTCCACCGGGAAGGACAGGGTGGTGGTGGCGAGCAGGAGCAGGAGCAGCCGCGGTGACGCCTGTCCCCTTGGGGTGAGGAAGACGCTCGTCTTCTACCGCGGCCGCGCGCCTACTGGCCACAAGACCAGCTGGGTCATGCACGAGTACCGCCTGCTCCACGGCCATGGATACACATCCCCAGTGCATGCAACGGCAGGAGCCCAAGTACAGGTTTGTGTCTCTCATGCATCTTTAGTTAGAATTGCCCCCTTCGGAAACCTAAGCATATATATGTTGACTGTGAATCTGTGATGTGTTTTGTTCTGCTTGTTGACATGCTTCTTTCTTTTGGCAGAGTGAGTGGGTGATTTGCAGGATGTTCACGAAAAAGGCACCAGGTGAAACGAGCCAGTCGGAGCAGGCGGAGGCAGTTCTCCACCCTCCTCTCGATGATCATATGCAGCCGCCAATTGACGGCTGCGGTGGCAAGACGCCGGCGCCGCCGGCGGCAGCGTCCGACTCTGATCATCAGCACGCGAACTGCTTCTCCAATATTGCTCTTGCTATGGTCCAGGGTGACACTAATGTCAATGGGATAGAGAGCATGCTGCAGCTGAACCGCCATGGCCGTGAAGAGCTGCGGGTGAACTATTCAGAGTCAACCTATCCACCCGTAGCGCCATCGAGCTCAGCAGAAGCAGCTCTGCGACTCCGTGACGAGCTGGCCGGAGATTCCTTTGATCTGCTACCGCAGCTGCTCGACTACGACGAGGCCTTTCCATTTCTTCGGGACTTCTGAATTCTGATGCCGTGCGCCAAATTATATATCGACAAAAGAAAATGCAAGTCGGTCGTCAGGCCCGTATTCTGCTTCTGCATGCCTCTGCATATGTGGCTCTTTGGCAGTGTGTACATGTAGCAGACACATGGGCCCAGGTCCCACATGTCAACCACATAATTAATGAGTGGCATGTTGTGAACCATCATGTGGTTAGATCAGCAGCATCTTGGAATTGTTGCATAATAATCATTGTTTTCATGCATGCATATACGTGCTATACTGTACTATGTACATTATACGTATGTTTCTTGTGTATATATGAGTTCCACATCATGTTATATGATGTATGTTGCCAACGGCCATGTGATTATGTCATCCTTATGTCATAGCATATTTCCTAAGTGACGATGTTTCGTCTTGATTTGGTATGTGAGTGAGAGAGACTCTATGTTGATGGCCTAAAGCCAGTCTTAATCGAGGTTTCATAAGCATTAAATAAGCACATGTGTAATAGTATTGATGAAGTGAGATACGATAAAACTTCCATAGGATGAAATGAGTTGGGGATGAAACTTATCTATACTGTTTCCAACAAATGAGAGTTTTGAAAACAGTGACATGAAACCCCCACTAAGAGTTGGCTAATATCGTTGTTGCCTAGCCTTGAGGTGGCAGCGGGGCGCCTTTGGTCGTTGTGCCTTGCCTATAAAGGCCCTTCTAATTGCCGGCTTAATGTCCCTCCCTCAATTGTTGTTCATGGTGGTGCTCCATCATCTTTGGTCATTGATGAGAGACCCTCACTAATGTTCTCCGTCTTGACGCCACTGTTGGTTGCCATGGTCAGAGCCTCATTTGTGGGTGATGGATCTACCAGTGTGGGTGAGAAAATGCATCCGAAATTCTTAGTTGATGTGGGTGATGGTAAATCTTCTACCTTATTTCTCCCTCTAGCTTGTGATTTGAGTTTGTTACTCTTGGACTTTGGGCTCCTATACGGCTATAGGTTGCTTGCAAGCTCCCAATTGGTTGTGGTTGAGCACCAGGAAGTTTGTATTTCCCTTGTGAAGCTAGTGGAAACCCTCAAGCTCGAACTTGGTGATTCGCTTGAGAAGAGGTGAGAGTTGGAAGATACTCCAAGCCTTTGTGGCTCTCTCAACAATGAGGACATAGGCAAGCCTTTGTGGCTCCACTGAATCTCAGGGTAAATCTTGTGTCTTGCCTCTTGTTGTTGTGTTTTGAGCTCACCTCTAATTAGAATTGCAATATTAGGGTTTCCACCCGATCTACTTTCTATTGAGTTCTAGTTATAATGACTTGGTGCTATGGAAGACTGGTATTCAACTCGATTTGTTATTTACCCTTTGTATTTTGAGCTACATTAGTTTCAGCTAGGAAATGTGGAACCTCCGCAGATTTGTCCACCACAGAATCTGCAGAACCTCCACAGTCTGCTAACTGCTACAATCAAGTTTATGTTTTTAAAAGGCCTATTCATCCCTCTAGGACTTGCCTCAACCTTTCACATCATCTTGTTGATCCTAGCTTAATTACAACTTATTGGAAGCATTAGTCCATTATTTATTATTCAATTACCAAAATCAAACTTAGGGCTTTTAGCAGTGAGTTAGCTACAAGCACACGCGACCGGTTAGAGACACGGGTAATAGAGCAACATAAATTCCATGGATAATGTAGCTAGAGACTCATATTAATTTAATACATCTCTGATATAAGGATGCATACTATTGACAGGGTGTGAACAACACGTCCCTGATGCTAATTGCACATTAGAGACATGTAGAAAGTTCACGTGTCTATAGCACATTGCCTATCTCTGAAGCATACCAGAGATGAGGATGTGGTCAAAATTTATGCTCTCTGTGTGTTACCTTTGAAAGACGGGCTTGTAAAACTCGTGCCTTTGAAAACATCAGGGACATGTCTCAAGTACATGAATCTTTGATTCCTAGAACATTAGAGACACATTTGTTGTTATGTGGCCCTAGGCAAGACACATGGGCCCAGGTCCCACATGTCAACCACACAATTAATGAGTGGCATGTTGTGAACCATCATGTGGTTAGATCAGCAGCATATTGGAGTTGTTGCATAGTAGTAATCATTGTTTTCATGCATGCATATACATGCTATACTATACTATGTACGTTATACATACATCTGTTTCTTGTGTATATATGAGTTCCACATCATGCTATATGATGTATGTTGTGAACGGCCATGTGGTTATGTCATCCTTATGTTATAGATTTTCTTAGTGACAATGTTTCATCTTGATTTGGTATGGGAGTGAGAAAACTTTCTATTGATGGCCTAAGGCCAATCTTAATGGAGGTTTTTCATGAGCATTAAATAAGCTGATGTTGCATAGTATTGATGTTGTGAGATATGATAAAATCTTCATAGGATGAAATGAGTTGGGGATGAAACTTATCTATACTGTTTCTAACACATGAGAGTCTTGAAAACAGTGACATGAAACCCCCACTAATAGTTGGCTAATATCATTGTTGGCTAGCCTTGAGGTGGCGGCCGAGGCGCCTTTGGTCATTGTGCCTTGCCTATACAAAGGCCCTTCTAATTGTTGGCTTAATGCCCCTCCGTCAATTGTTGTTCATGGTGGTGCTCCATCATCTTTGATCATCGATGAGAGGCCCTCACTAATGTTCTCCATCTTAACGCCACTGTTGGTTGCCATGGTTAGAGCCTCATTGTGGGTGATGGATCTACTAGTGTGTGTGAGAAAATGCCTCCAAAATGCTTAGTCATTGTGGGTGATGGTAAACCTTCTACCTTGGTTCTCCCTCTAACTTGTGATTTGAGTTCATTACTTTTGGAGTTTGGGCTCCTATACAGCTACAGGTTGCTTGGGTGATCCTAATTGGTTGTGGTTGTGCACCGAAAAGTTTGTATTTCCCTTGTGAAGCTAGTGGAAACCCTCAAGCTCAAACTTGGTGATTCGCTTGACAAGAGGTGGGAGTTGGAAGAGACTCCAAGCGTTTGTGGCTCCCTCAACAACGAGGACATAGACAAGCCTTTGTGGCTCCGTTGAACCTCGGGGTAAATCTTGTGTCTTGCCTTTTGTTGTTGCTGTGTTTTGAGCTCACCTCTAATTTGAATTGCAATATTAGGGTTTCCACCCGATCTACTTTTCTATTGAGTTCTAGCTGCAAGGACCTGGTGCTATGGGGCTGAGATACCTAGGAAGACTAGTATTCAACTCCATTTGTTATTTACACTTTGTATTTTGAGCTGCATTAGTTTCAGCTAGGAAATACGAAAAGTTCCATGGGAATCTGTAGAACATCCACAATCTGCTAACCGCTACAATCGAGTTTATGTTTTTAACATGCCTATTCACCCCCTCTAGGCCTTGCCTCGTCCTTTCACATCATCTTATTGATCCTAGCTTAATTACAACTTATTGGAAGCATTAGTCCACTGGTTGTTATTCAATTACCAAAATCAAACTTAGAGCTTTTAGCAGTGAGTTAGTCGCAAGCACACGCGTCCGTTTAGAGACACAGGTAATAGAACAACATCAATTCCATGGATCATGTACCTAGAGACTCACATTAGCTTAACATGTCTCTGATATAAGGATGCATACTTTTGACGGGGTGTGAACAACACTTCCCTGATTCTAATTGCACATTAGAGACATGTAGAAAGTTCACGTGTCTGTAGCACATTGCCTGTCTCTAAAGCATACCAGAGATGAGAGATGTGGTCAAAATTTATGCTATCTGTGTGTTGCCTTTGAAAGACGGGCTTATAAGACCCGCGTCTCAGAAAACATTAGGGACATGTCTCAAGTATATGAATCTTTGATTCCTAAACCATTAGAGACACATCTTGTTGTTATGTGGCCCTAGGCAAACTCGATAGGGACACGTGGTGTATCCGCATCTCTAGTTGTACAATTGTGACTCTTTGCATTTTAATGTCACTGATGTGTGCGTCTTCTTTGTACTATCATAGCAAGGATCGCTTACGGTGCCACAATCATTTCTACATTCCTGCCCATTGCCTTCTCTCTAAAGTAACATGATATATTAAAATTCAGCAGCCAGTAACATCGACAAATTCTTGTTTGACAGGTTTCAACTAGTCGATGCTGAGATGTTCCATAAAGTATAGATTACTATAATACAGCATATAAATACAAAGGTTGGACTCTGAAAGTGTATCTCAGAGGAGAATCAAGAAGCATCAGTTTTCAATGGGATATATATATATATATATATATATATATATATATATATATATATATATATATATATATATATATATATATATATATATATTAAACATCATATATGTAGGCGGAGAGAGGTTGGCCTGGTGTGACTTTAAAAAAAATTGAAACAAGCTGGTGAGACTTATTTGGGCATCAAACAAAGCATCAGTTCTCAATGGGATTTAAGTATCTACGTTCAGAAATGAGATTTATATATCTGTAGGAAACATTGTATATGTACGCGGAGAGTGGTTATCCTGTTGTGACCTTTTTTGCTTAAAACAAATCTTGAAACAAATTGGTGGGACTTATTTGGATAGTGATGCCCGCTTCAGTATGCAGTCATCATCATCATTTTTTTTTTGTTACCGCTTGCTTCTTTCTTCCGAGCTCAGGATTAAGATAGCACTGCAGCTAATTCTGCCGACATCACCTTTGAAACGTTTCTTAAACCTCAACTTGCGTCACTTGACGACGCACCGTCTAGTTAGAGACTTAATGAGAGCGTAAGACTCGTTCAAATATGGCTAAAATAAAAGAGAGATCCGCTACAAGTCACGGGCAAATGTTGTCATGGATTCTCGCTATGCAGTATATTAAAATCCTTACTGTTGAAGTATAAGTGGATTGTCTATTAGTTTAAAATGGATGCATCCAACTTATTAATATGGTATATATATCTGGACAAGAGGTCTTAAATTTAAAGTCTGATTAACACAGTTTATTATAACCATTATTGCTCGCTCATGTATTCCACGTT